TAAAGCAGGGCCACTATTCCTTCCAGAGCCTCCCAATAAGCACATCTAAATACAGAAGAATAGCATTCCCTCATAGGTGTGTTACAACACACCCAGGTTCCATGAATGAGTTACAGGTGTGCCAGGAGATACTGCGCTCAGCCTGCAGGGCAGCTGGGCAGGGCCTGGGGCAACCAGGGTTCCCTCCCCTACCCTCACTCCACCCCCTTGCAAATGAATGGTACCTCTTCAGACCTCCTCAGAAAAGCTCCCTAAAGAAGCAAGAAGCAAAATCTGATAATGCTTCCCTCATGAAAAACTCAGGAAGCATATGAGTAGAAGAGTGGCGTGAGAAGCCAGGTGAGTCCTACAAAGATCTTGTTTTGATGATTGTCAATTTCCTCTTATTCCTCAATTCCTTATTCCTCAATTCAGATCAATGTCTGAATTTTCTTTAGATTTCCCTAAATAATTTTTCATAGGGCTATACAGCTTCCCTATCCTGTGGCCCAAGAAACCAATTAAATTGGCCATCAAATCTTATTATAAGGAAAAATTCAACTGAAAGTTGTCACATGGGTAAGCAATTACCTTTGAATAAGACGTGCCAGTCAATAGAGCTGGTCCTCACTCAGGCAGTTATTTTCCCTTCCTGGGGTGAAGGGCTATTTAGACATTTCCCAAGAAGCAAGAAAACATTTTCTCCTCTCTTATACAACTTGTCCTTACAGATATAACCAACATACTTTTGAATCTTCCCAGGCCTCCTTCTCCCCGCCTCCCTGCCTTGATCGCCTTGATGGCACCATATGCTTTCATCTCAGAAAGAAACACTGGTTTCTTCTTTTCCTTTATTCACTGCGGGGCAGTGTCAGATGGTGTGTCTATCCAGGTAGCGAGATTCAAGGAGACTGTGGGGGAGAGGCATTGTCTGGCAGGAAGCCATGCTTGCTGGGCCTGCAGTCTACACGGGCCCTCCATCATGGCCTTGGGCAGGCCACTTGACCTGGGCCTCAGAGGAGTTCAGCTCATTAATGTAAAGCTGCTGGTGGTTTAGGGTGAGCTACTCTGACACCCAGAGAGAAAAGAAGAGTTGCAGTTACCAAGAGCTGTGACAGGCTCACCTTAAGACAGAAAGCTTCTCAATTCTGTGTGAGAGAGGTTTCCTCTGATGTTTGAGTCAGAAGCAAATTTAGGCTCAAAGCAAAGTTACACTGGCTCCTCCAGGCTCAACAGCATTGGCTCTGATAGCAAAGCAGGACTGTTCAAGATTTTCACCTCAGAAACAGTGCCAACTGTCTTCCCATTGCTGGACGCAGGGAGCAAGATGCTGAAGAGTCTTGGTGTTTATTATGTCTTGTTTTTTTTTTTTTAATGATAACTTTGTGTAGTTTTTCCCAGGTACTAAACTCTTACAGATCAGGGGAAGGTCTCTTTGCCTCAACACTTCCCCTTTATAACAGCAAACAGACACTCCAGAGGCCGTGTATATTGGTTTCCTCAGGTCACTAACTCCAACCACACTACATTTCCTCCTTATATCACTACTTCGTCTGTAATTACCCCAGTCTACTCACTCCTACTGAGGTGGGGGATCCTGGGGCTCAACAGCATACATGACTGATTCGTTGCCATTAATAAACTCAGGATGGGAGTCCCTAGAGATCTAGCTCCTCAAATTTGATGAACGTTAATGTCTACAATCCAGGGACAGAAAGAGAAACTATTGGCAAGGACCTGGTCATGAAGATCAGCAGTTTTATGCAAATCCACTGTGATCACCGGTTCTGTTTATTCTCTTGTTGTAAATGGCAAATAATAAGCTAATTTGGCTATGTTTTGAGAATGGCATCTGAAACAATGAAGAAATGAAAATCTAATTAGGCACAAACCACCTATTCCCAAAGCTTCAGATCATCATATCCCCAACTACCCTGATGTGTGATGCCACAGGGAATTAAAGGGAACCAACCTACAAGACAGTTGCAAAAACATCCTGTCCCAAAATACTTTCACATAACCTCACATATCAAAGCTAGTGAACATCAGCAACTTGTGGTGGCAGCGTGGGATCAGGGGGAAACACTCAGATTTGACTGGAAATCACTGGCCTACAAGCCTACCTTAATTTACAGAATGGACTAAGCTCTATCTGCGTCTATGTGCCTAGGTAGAAGCACTGAAATGAGCAGCTCTACTGTTCAATAGTTCTCTTCATTATCAGCTAGAGATTCCCAAATTATTTCAAAGTCCTATATGCACAGAGAGCTAAAAGATCAAGAGCTGCACACCACCACTGGTGCCATAGAATTATTTATCCTATAGAAGGCTATACATTCTTCTTCTGCTTCTTACATGAACTCATTACTTAGAAATCCAGTTGTGTATATTAGGAAATTGTGACATAGAGACAGAGGTATGGGATGTTTCTTGGCTTTGAGTTGGTAATCCATAGTAGGAAGAAGGTGGCCTACCGTGCCCCCGCAGGGCTCCATGGAAATCATTTACATATGCTCTTTAGAAGTGCCCCTCTCTCACTAGCCCTTGGGGATGTCACAGATGGCAAACAGGGAAGGCTTGCTGAACCCCAACATCTGGTCAAATGGTTCCACATAAGGAAGGAAAGTTAAATCTCTTTTATTGGAGTAGGTTACACACCACTCCAGGACCTCTATCCTTGTGCTTCAGAAACAATTATCTTAAAGCTTTAAATGGATTTTGAAAACATTCAAAACCCAAGAAGATCTGTCTCAGTACGAAGAACTTATTAGCACAGAGATTTACATATTTGAGGCTAGTCAATAAGAGACTTTGGGGGAGGACAAAAGGAAATTCAATGAAGAGAAAAGGGGGTGAGGAACTAAATAGTTCAGCTCTGAGGTTTATTTTATTTCCCATCCTGTGGATTTTTACACACTGGGTCTATAAGATAAGAACTGGTTAAAAATTAAGAGAGAAGAGAGCCTTAAATAAATGGTAAAGCTAATAGAGACCCAGGGACAGAGCCTCCTCTCAAATGCACAGCTTGCCGCTCCACATATAGTATCTTGAAAAATCTTTACTGCCTTCAAAGATGCAGCCCTTGGCACTGAGCACCATGCCTCCAAGTATAGAATGTGGACCTCCATATTTATGTTCCCCAGATGGTGGAATTTATAAATGCACCATGGGGCGCTATTGAAATTAATAATTTAATTCATTTCCGTGATTGTGCCGTGATTGCTAGTCATTATGGCAATAGCAGTTAGCAGAGTCTCTCAGTTCTGGGATGGAGCTGAAGGGTAATCTCAGTGAGAGTAATTCCTCTGTCATCCCATTTCAAATGCAGTCAATCCCCTCTGAATGGGGCACAGCCAAAAGTTTCTGGAATGAAAATGGAGGCAGCACCAACCTAGTTAGATGAAGATGGCTTCAATTTCTGTGATTCCCAAAGTTTGAAATCAGTCCTCTAAGGACCACTAACATGATCTGTGATTGTTTAGCTTGGAAAAGGAACAGATAAGAAGATACCCGATCACTATCTCCAAAGACACAAATTTTGCACTCTATGCCTGCAGACAATCTATATCCAAATAATTGAGAATTAACTGCACTTTTACTTTCTATTCCCATTCGTCTATTCCCATTTATCGAGGGAATACACTGGCAGCTGGACTAAATGATTTTTGAAGTCCCTTCCAGAGATTCTCAGAGATTCCCTGATTCAGTGGCAAGGCTGGGAGAATGGTGAGGGTAGCGACTCTGTGTTTCCTCAAGGGAAGTGCTTGCTTCTCGCAGCCTAATGATCTGAAAGCCTAAATGTGCAAGAGGGGGAATCGCTGGGCACTGGCACACACAAGTGCGGCCAATGTGGATGAGCCCATTGGTATTTCCCACCCAAGAGACGGTAACTGCCTTGGATTTATAAAGTGCCTTTTCTTCTTTGAGAAGCCTAAACCCTTTTTTTTAAATTTCCCTCATTATCCTCTGATTTTTCATTAATCGCCAAAGTCAGTCCTGACCTACAGATCCTCCTTCAATAGTGAAGACGCTAATACACGAATGACAAAATAATCCAAAAAGGTAGAGACAGATTCCACTACCTTGGCTCCTCTTAGCTTTTGCTCCATCCAGTAGACTTCCCTTTGGACCACTCTATCTCTGCACAGCCCACAGGGCCTGAATGATCATGGAAGGAAGCACAAGGGTCTCCCCCCCTCTCATTCCCAACAGCAGCGACCTTGCACAGGGCCCAAGCTCAGACCCTGCCCACCACCGCATTAGGGGAAAGGAACAGTTGGGAAACAGAGGCAGAAGATGAACATGGACACCCCCAGGCCCTGGGGAGGAGGGCAGGAATTCAGAAACACCATACACACCAGTCTCCTTCTCTTTCTTGGTCCACAACTCAGTCTCCTGTGGTGTGTGAGTCAAGGAGCTCTTGGGGTGCAAGCAGGGTATGGAAACAGCGCTACCTTTTTTGTTCCAACCTGGTTTCAAGGAAACCTTTTGGAGGGCTGTGGGTTGGGGAAGGTGGTAACAAAAATGTGCCCTACTGTGGTTGTGTTTCAAGGGCTACACAGTCAATATCCCTGCCCCCCCCACGAACCTAGTACATGGTAAATGTAAGCAGGGCGCCCTCAGCAATTGTTCTGAGTGATTACGGTGGACATTCTATGTGCTAAACGCCCAGAACTCCCTCTTCATCCCCTGAAGGGCCTCAACTCCTGCTTCCCTGGCAGTCTGTACCTCTTCAGTAGTGCTTTTCACACCCAGCCTCTCCATCAAGACTGCAGGCCCTGAGAACATGTGCCCCACTCACCTCCACCACTGCTCCCACCACACCAGCAAGGGGATTCGCCGGAAGGAGGGACCCACTAAATGTCCCCAAATTGTGGGCATCTGATGAGTGGAAACAGTGGGTAATCCTGGAGAGGGAGAGTGGGGACTAGAATATGCTCTATTTACTTTTTGGTCATGACAAGAAGAGGTGAGGAGAGCCCAAACCCCTTATTTATACCACAGGTATCCCAGCCCCTTACCTATGTGACACAAGAGGAGGAAGTCTGGGTGGCATTTTTCTCAGAAATGCAGGATCAGTTCTACTTGGCCATACTGAGGCTGTCCAGGGGTGGGCAGGAGACTGCAAGCCCCAGCATTCTCCCTCCTTCCCATTGCTGTCTTTGGGTTGTTATTGTTGCTGCTGTCAGTGACATTTCACAGGTCATTACTTATTCTTGAAAATGCCCTCCAGTGACCTGGCAAAAATATGTAGAAGAGAGGTCCTTGGACTAAAAGTCAAGTGAATTAGCACTTTCCCCAACTCCCTGTGTGAACGTGGGCAATCTTTCCCTGCCCTAGGTCACAGCTTCGTCTTTCAGGATGGCACAGTGGAAAGAGAGTGGATTTGGGGGCTAAACAAACATGTTTAAACACCAGACCTCCTGATATAAGTGATGTGACCTTGGAGAAGTTCTTTACTCTCTTAGCACCACCTTCTTTATTTCTGACATGAGCACAACATGTCCTAAATACAGAAAATTGATAAGTTTTAAATGAGTTCGTATACGTAAAACACTTAGCGCAATCCCTGGCACAAGCTAAGCATCCAGATAGATTTGCTTCACTTTTTCTATATAAAATGGGTGCTATAAACGGAATATTTGTGTCCTCCCAAATTTCATATATTGAAACCTAATGCCCGCTGTGGTGGTGTTAGGAGGTAGGGCCTTTGGGAGGTGATAAGGTCAGGAGGGTAGAACTCTCATAAATAGGATCAGTGTTTCTATATAGGGGGCTCCAGAGAGATCCCTAGCCTATTCCACTGTTTGGGGACAAAGCAAATAGTCAGCCATCTCCAGTCTAGAAAAGAGCTCTCACCAGAACCCCTGCCCTACTGGCACCCTGATCTTGGACTTCTAGTCTCCAGAACAGTGAGCGATAAACTTCTGCTGTTTATGAGCTGTCCATTCTGTGGTGTTTTGTTATAGTATAGCCCAAACAGACTACAGCAATGTGATTTCATCATCTCTTCCTTATAAAGTTGTTTTAAGGATCAAATGAAATACTAGATGATAAAAATCTCTGAAAACTGCAAAATACTGTGCATTTGTAGTCACATGGGATTAAGAAAAGCAGAACATAAATAACAAGATACTATTGTACTATGCTTTAATATCCAAAGTAAATTACCTAGTGTTTCCAAGGTATTTTTAAAACAATCTTTAGGAAGGAAACCAGCATGGATTGTTTTATTATAAGAAGAGCTTTGGGGGGTAGGGGAAGGAAATGAGAAGTGTGAAAAGATATGGAATGATGAGGAGTGTCTGCGTGGCTTAGTCCGGTATGCATATAACTCTTGGTTTCAGCTCAGGTCATGATCTCAGGGTCCTGGGATCGAGCCCTGAGCTCAGCAGGGAGTCTACTTGAGGATCCTCACTCTCCCTCTCCCTCTGCCCTGCCCCCTGCTTGCTCTCTCTCTCTCAAATAAATAAATAAATCTTTTTTTAAAAAAGGCTATGGAATGATGATAGTAGGGCTCTGATTTATAACTGTATCCTGGCTCATCAGCAAAGTGAGTTCAAATCCAAACCAAAAGTGTCAGAACAAAAAGATTGGTCCAATTACTATTTCAGTCTATCTTTAGTGATTCAAGCCCATTGGAGACTTTGTGAAGTTGGATAATAGCTAACTGTCATCATTGTGGCCTCTTGCCGAGTGTGCCTGGCATACAAGAACATCATGGACATCCACTGCTTCAGTAGGACAACACTTTCTAAACTCTGTTGCGTGGAATGCTTTGTCACATAATGTTTTTAGTGCTCTGGAGTCAAATACATTAAGGAACATCTTTACCTCATTCTTAGACATTTACAGAGTATATTTGTAAAGACAAGACTCTGGGAAGTTCTCCAGACTTAAGTACATTTGTTAAACCCAGAATCTTCCAAACTAATTAGACCATAGGTCTCTTCCCCTTTCCTCAGTCTACAGAGTCACAATTAATATCTCTTAGAGTAATATTCTATGTGTGCACAAATCTAAGAAGAGATTGGCCCACCCACCAAGGGCCTTACTTGACTGTTTGGGGACACAGTCAATATGCCACAGAGCAAGGCTGATGGGAAACAAGGGCTTCGGGGTCTTTGCTAAATAATTGTATATATCCTCCCATCAGGGTGGTAGAACCAGGATGCCACTTGGAGGAGCAGAAATCACAAATGCTCTTTCAATATAGTGAACATTCACCACCATGTGGTCACTGCAGGTGGTCTTGGGTGAGGGTGGGGTGCAAATAACCCCACACAGGGCCAGAGCACGTTCCGCTCCTGGGTGTAGACATGAGGCTTGCCCATAGCAAAGGGGAATGGGTAAGGGAAGGAAACAGAGACATTGCCCTCATTCCAGAATGCTATAGCAAATGCACCAAAAATCAACCCAAACTACTTGTTCTCCTTCCCCTGCCCCAAACCATTTCAGATCACAACAGTAGCTAAACTTGGCATTGAGAGAAATCTGACATCTTCAGGGTGGTTATACAGTTTTCTAAATTCTGTCTCTAAACATGGTTCTAGTTTAAAAAACAAAAGCTTAAATTGAGCAGTAAAAATCATACAGGGTAACAGGGCACATATTTCACATCCTTTTCCCGGCGCCTCATACACACACACACACACACACACACACACACTTATTCTTCTATTTATTTTCCTCCACTATTCAGATTCATTGGCATCATCCTTCTCTCCCAGTGATGATCTACTCCATTGTCTTCTTGCCACACAATTCAATTCAAGACAATTGTTTCTTATCCACTGTGTGCCAGGCACTGAGCTTAGAGTCACCCGTTCTCAGAGTCATCTTGGAGCAGAGTCATCTTGGATTCTGCCTCAGGCACAGTATCTAATTGATCACAAAATACCATCAATTCTACCTCTGAAATAGCACCCAAATACTGCCAGACCTACTTTGCTACCGCCCTCCCATGGTTCTGGCCTTCATCATTTCTCACCTCGCTATTGCAAGCAGCCTGGTGTGTCTTCCTGCTACAGCATCAATTCACTTCCACACCACGGCAGCCAAAGATCTGATCATGAACTAATAAGGCAAAGACCTTCAATGGCCCTGTGCCATCTGCAGAAAACAGCCTCAACTTCAGACGGCAGCCCTTCACAATTCCAAGTTTCAGGACTCCTGCTTTCTCCCAGGCCCCATCCTACCTCCTCCGACAATAATTGGATCTTATTCATTATTGTATTCTTAGCATATAATACCAGGTCTGGCACAAGGCAGGCACTTAGGAAATCTGTATGAAAGGACACGTGGCATAGATGTATCAACGAATAGATGAAAGAGTAAATATATTGGTTTCCTCTTGCTGCTACCAACTTACTGGTTGAAAAGAACCCAAAGTTATTCTATTATATTCTGGAAGTCAGAAGTCCAAAATGGGTAAGCAGGGCTCTGTGTCTTCTGGAGGCTCTGGGGAAGAATCTGTTTTCTTGACTCATAGAGCTTCTAAAGGTTACCTTCATTTGTTGGCTTATGGCCCCTTCCTCCATACTCAAAGCACATCACTGCAAACTCTGCTTTCCCTCATCCCATATCCTTTTTCTTTTTTTTTTTTAATTTTTTATTTATTTATGATAGTCACAGAGAGAGAGAGAGAGAGGCGCAGAGACATAGGCAGAGGGAGAAGCAGGCTCCATGCACCGGGAGCCCGATGTGGGATTCGATCCTGGGTCTCCAGGATCGCGCCCCAGGCCAAAGGCAGGCGCCAAACCGCTGCGCCACCCAGGGATCCCCCATATCCTTTTTCTATCTCAGACTTCGACATCCCTGCATCCCTCTTAGAAGGACCTCTGTGATTATATTATTGGGCCCAGCGGGGTAATCCATGATACTCTCCCCCATCTCAAGGTCCTTAACTCAATCACACATGCAAAGTCCCTTTTTGCCACGTAAGGCAACATATTCACAAGTTTGGGAGATTCAGACATGGTTGGGTCGGAGTCGGGGGGCATTATTTAGACTTTCAAGGTGAATCAATAGAATTTTCTTTTTAGTGATGAGTGTTATAGCAGCACAAGCTGCCAGTGGAAATTACAGAAAGCCAAGTCTAAACTCTGCCCGGAAAGGCAAGGAAAAGCATCACAGTGGGAATGATGCTTGAGCTGAGTTTGAAGAATATACAGGAGTTCTAAAGGAACAGAAATAGGCAGCCCTTCTAAGGGGCAGAGACAGCATTATTCAAAGCACAGAGGCATAAGGATGGGAGGAGTGGGTTGACATGAGTGAAGTACAGGTTCAAGGGGAGGGCCTATCGCTCCCTTAGTAGGAGAGAGATTGAGACAAAGGAAGGAGCTTACCTGCCAAGCTAATGAGTTTGGAGTTTCATCTGAAGTATGTGGGGGTGCAGCCCTGGTGGCCCAGTGGTTTAGCGCCACCTTCGGCCTGGGGTGTGATCCTGGAGACCCAGGTTCTAGTCCCACACCAGGGTCCCTGCATGGAGCCGGCTTCTCCCTCTGCCTGTGTCTCTGCCTCTCTCTCTGTCTGTCATGAATAAATAAAACCTTAAAAAAAATGAAGTATGTGGGGAATCAGCATGGAAGCAAGCAGGGATAAGACATGGTTACATCACATTCTAGAACAGCACTGTCAAATTGAACTTTCTGCAGTGATGGAAATGCTCTCTCTGTATTGCTTAATAGGTAACCATTAGCCACTTGGGCTAATTATTAAGTACTTAAAACGTGGCTAGCATAACTGAGGAACTAAATTTTATTTTTTCAAAGATTTATTTATTTATCTTTAGATTGAGAGAGAGAGAACTCGAGGGAAGAAGGAGGTGGGAGGAGCAGAGGGAGAGGGAGAGGGAGACTTAAGCAGACATCTCACTGAGCATGGAGCCCAATGCAGAGCTCGATCTGAGATCACACCCTGAGATCACAAACGGAGCCGAAACTAAGAGTTGGATGCTTAACTGACTGAGCCACCCAGGTACCCCAGGAACTAGATTTTAAATTTTACTTAATTTTAATTAAACAGTTATATGTGCCCAGAGGCTACCATATTGGACAACACTGTTTTAGAAGGATCATCTAGAGATTTGATAGAAGGTGACTTCAAAGTGTGAGAAATTGAAGGCAGGATGCCCAGAAGGCATTGGCCCAGATGAAAAGTGGACACAGTCTAAACTAAAACCTGGGTGGGAGTGATAGCAGCCGGTGGAGACAGCAGAGAAAATGATCAAATATAGTGTTAGGAGGGTCTGACTGATGGAACATAGCTTCAGCTGAGTCTAGGATGAGTCTCTGTATCTGGATGGTGCCCGTCACCAAGCAAAGGGATCAGGGTTTAAAACTTATGGTGATAATTTTACTTCATTAACAGGACCAAGTTTGATGTACCTATTAATTGGAGACATTCTAAAATAAATATGTCTGGAGCCCAAGAAAGGCAGACCTGGGCTGCACATATAGGTCTGGAAGGTGTCAGCACGTAGGTGAGGGCTGAATCCCTGGCTGTGGATGGTTTTGCCCAGGATAAGTAAAGAGCAGAGAAAGGCAGTGGACAGCAGACAGTACTGCAGGGAGCACTGGCATGCAAAGGCCAGGGAGTAGGAATGAATGAGCTCTGAAGAAAACTCTGAAGAGAGTAGGGCCATGGACTCTGAAGGAAGGAAAAGACTCAAGAAGGAAATCAATTTTTCTTAGGGAGGCCAAAGGTCATCCTGACTGCAGGTGGGTGACCCAGCAAGAGCAGTTTCAGCAGAGTGGGGGTGGGGGGTAAGGGAAGCTTGGGGATTCATAGGTGCTTGTGAGCAAGACAGCAGGAGCACCACTATGAACCCCAAGTATTAACTCTTGTCTGACTGAGAGGAAAGAAGTAGACCAGGAAATAACAAGAAGCACAAGAGCAAAGAACGGATGAGGTGAGATTTGTACCCATTGACATGCAGAAAGAAAAAAAAAAGGAGACTAAAGCTTGGAGGGTGAGGAGCTAAAAATATAGGAGAGAGAGGGAAAGGGGGTGGATAAGGCTGCCAGCTGTCCAAACCAAGCAGTTTAGTACTTTAGTTTCCTTAAGATAAACACAAGCAAAAGCCCAGACATGTAGGTCCCATTTTTTAAATCCCATTTAAAAATTAAGTGTATGTGCCTAAGTAGTACAGTCGAATGTAAAATGTAAGCTGTAACATAGATTTTATCAATATGCTTTCCCTGTCAGACCATTTTTGGTTCACAAATTCAATTAAAGTGCGTCTGGTATTTCTGTCAAAACCTCTGACACACCAGGGAATGACAGATGGAGCAAGGTTCTCTGCATCTCAGAAGATGAGCCCCTCACCATTTGCTGAGCAAAGGCCACAATGGCTTTCTTTCCAGAGGTGTCATAGGACACTTTGTGGGAGCAGCCCTGGGTAGCTCAGTGATTGAGTGTCTACCTCTCTCTGTGTCTCTCTCACGAATAAATAAATACATTTCTTTTTTAAAAAAGGAAGAGACTATGGGAGTAAAGTTTCAAGACCATGCCCACCCTGCCCCTTCAGGTCTCCCCTGCTCTCCCACCACCACCTCCCTTCCACACACAGGAAAATCCTACTTTACATTGGGACAGGTATTTTAGTCTGTCCTGGCTACACAGTCCCACAGACTGGGTGGTATCAAAGCAACAGAGATTTGGTTTTCACAGCTCTGGAGATGGGAGTCCAAGACCAAGGCACTGACAGATTTGGTGTCTGGTGAGGGCCCACTTACTGGTTCAGAAATGGCAGACTTCTCACTGCATCTTCCCATGGCAGGAGGGATGAGGGTTCTGTCTGGGGTCCCTGAGAAGGTCACTGATGCCATTCACGAGGGCTCTGCTCTCCTGATAAATCACTCCCCAAACGCTCCAGCCCTAAACACCAACACACAGGGCATTAGGTTTTGACATATGAATTTTGGAGGGACTCAAACATTTCAGTCTATAGCAATGATATAGCACACTCTGACCCAGGCTCACCTCTCACCCTGACTCTGATAGCCACCAGGAAGCTCAGAGCTGTCTCTAAGAAGTGGCCTCACTTCTCACTGACTCAGGCAGAGTCAGGGGAACTGAAAGGAGGTAGAGATGGAGGCGTGAATGGAGCAAGAGAAGTTCAGAGAGAAAGAAGACCGCAAAGAGGGGTGCCTGGGTGGCTCAGGGGTTGCACATCTGCCTTCAGCTCAGGTCATAATCTGGGGTTCTGGGATGGAGTCTGCTTCTCCTTCTGCCTATGTCTCTGCCTCCCTCTGTGTGTCTCTCATGAATGAATGAATGAATGAATGAATGAATGAATAAATAAATAAATCTTTTTTAAAAAAAGAAAAAGATGGCAATAGAGAAATCCCTTCAAGAGGGAGCATGAACGTAACACTTGTGATACTTGAGTACACCTAGATGTTTTGCTACCCTTGTAGATGTTGGCCTTGGGAGTAACAAGGACATGCAGAGAGTTGGGCTATGCGATGTGGGGAGAGTGACTGTAGGCCAGTACTTTGCAAGGTCTCCAAGGAAGAGAGGAAAGAAGGGAAGAAGCAAGAAGAGAGGGGAGGAACAAAAGAGAAGGTGGAGGGGAGGCGGAGGAAAATGCTCATGCAACTATGTTTTGCTTTTCTCTAAATTCCTCACATATGCCCTTATCATCGGCCCACATCCCCCATCAAATGCTGGGGTTGAAAATCTGTTCAATGTTAATGTGACTCTGGTGGAAGATTTTCTTCTCTTTATTGGCACTCCTAATGGTGGCAGCCTGGCCCTGTTTATTCATTAATGCCTGGAAGTCAATACAGAAGTAGAAGACAGAAGACTAGCAAATGGCAAAGCCAACATTTATTCCTGTGTTTCCGAGGAAGGGAGAACTTTCAAGACAGTCCAGGTCTCTTTCTATCAGAAGCTAAACAATGAAAAATAAAAAACAAACTTCCAACTAGATGAAGAATTACAGATTACCCGTCATGTTCAGATGATGCAAATGTGGCTCAGAGATGATAAATCAATTGCCCAAAGAAATAAGTTAGAGCCCAGGTCTCCTGACTACTCATCTTGTTGCTTTTCCACTGCCTCTGCGATTTTCAAGTTCTGTTCCCTGGAGGTGTCATGGGGGAAAGGCTTGGGTGGGCAGAAGCCAGGTGAAGTGGATGGACTATTTCGCCCACCCCTTCAACCATATTCAACCACAATAATTCCTATTTATCTGACATGTGCACACACAGGGCTTCTGTATAGTATTTCCTCTGAAGAAAATTTCTGTTGCTAAAACTGTTTAAAAAATTGCCTTACACCACATTTATAATTACATTTTAGGCAGAAGAAGCCTGGCCCTGTTCTAAAGACTCATTATCAATCATAGAAGCCTTTTTTAAATATGAAACTAATAAAGGACATAAATGAATAGGGGGAGATGGGCGGGAAAAAAATAGTTCAGAAGGATTCCTTCACTGGAAAGTGTAGGACAGCAGTCCTTAAACTTTTTTTGTACATTGAAATCGCCTGGAGAGCTTGTTAAAGCAGATTGTTGGGCTCCATGCCTGAGATTCTGATTCAGAAGGTGTGGGATGTAGCCCAAGGACTTTCAACTCCAACAAGTTCCTAGATGCTGCTGATACTGCTGGTCCAGGGACCACACTTTGAGAATCACTGATGGAGAGTAGAGACTGTTGAACAGGAATAGGTTCCACAGGAGGTCATCATGATGCTTCAAATTAATCTTTTGGAGAAAGCAGGAGGAACTTCTCTCCAAGGCACTATTATTCAATCAGAGAAAATAATATGTGAAACTTTCTAAGACACATAAAAAATGCTTATGTTATATTATTGAATTTAAAAAGAACATGATTGGGATCCCTGGGTGGCTCAGCAGTTTGGCGCCTGCCTTTGGCCCAGGGCGCGATCCTGGAGTCCCAGGATTGAGTCCCACATCAGGCTCCCGGCATGGAGCCTGCTTCTCCCTCCTCCTGTGTCTCTGCCTCTCTCTTTCTCTCTATATCTATCATGAATAAATAAATAAATAAATCTTAAAAAAATAAAAAGAACATGATTCCAATGAGAAAAAGTAGAAAAAACCTGAAATGTGCTAATTATTTCCCCTGCTGCATAAAACAGACATTATTTGATCTCCAGACATTATGTAGATATGGTAGTTGGTGGTTGATGTGAGAACAAATGCTTATATCTATATGTATATCAGAGCTACTCATCCATTTAAAAACCATTCATAAACATTGGGGTTTAGGGTGGAAATAAATCCCTATTTATATGCATATGAGTGTCATGTGCGCTCATTCCTTCCACAAATATTTATAAATGCCTACCAGATGCCAGGCACTGTGCCAGGCACTAGGGAAAAGACACACGTTCATTGCCTTCAGTCCAGTGAAAGAAACAGGAAGTGAGATAAGAGCTAATGGAAGCATATGGAAAATTCTATGGGGGAGGAACCATTTGGTTTGACTGATATTCAGCTCCATTTTGGACAATTTAAGTTGTGGAATATCCAGGGAGAAATATCAAGTAGAAAGTTAGAAATATGTGTCTGTAACTCAGGAGGAAAACCTGGGTTGGAGATGTAGATTGAGAGTCTCTATCTAATTCTGGGTATAAATGATTTCTCGATGAAAACGGGTGAAGTATGGGGAAAGGAATGTCAAGTAGAGGAGGAATAGCCAATAAAGCTGATTTTGGGCTAATAGAAAGATTGATAAGATAATGCATAAAATTAAGGACACGTTAATCTTTCTGTTTTAAACAATAATGACTTATTTGCTTGAAATAAGATGTCTTTAGTAATTTCATCAATATGCCCGTCCAGGAAAGATATGCTGTATGCTGATATGCTCAGCAGATATGCTGAATTACTCATAACATGTCTTATACTTCCTGGTTAGAACCCAATCTTGCTTAGTATTTTCATATAAATCCTGGTGTCTTATTTAAGTAAACAAAGATTATCCTCACAAATATAACTCAAAACCCTAGTGAATAATGTTTCTACCAGTTTTTTCCCTAAGGTCATTAGCTTTTAATCACTGAGTCATATACATATACAGCATTGGTTATGTGCAAAACAAGACGATTTTTATCATTAATGAGCTAGCAAATGTATGATGTCATCTCACATACATGTACACACATGCACAAACACGCACTATCTTTCCCCCCTTCCTTATACCTCACTTCTCCTTCTTGGCTGTCTCTAAGATACAATTACAACACTATGAACGTCACATTTCTAGTTACAGTTGTTATGAGCTTTTAAAACTTTAAGTAAAAATCATTACTCAATCCATGGTTTAAAAACCAATTCAATATACATTTAATAAGCACCTTTGTTCATACTGACACAATAGTGAGATTATTGTCCCTGTACTCGCTGAACTTGTTGAGCAATAAGTAAGCCTTTTCTGACCAGAGAACATTGGCTCTCTAGTTATTGATGTATATATAAAGAAAGAAAGAAAGAAAGAAAGAAAGAAAGAAAGAAAGAAAGAAAGAAAGAAAGAAAGAAAAAAAGAAAGAAAGAAAAGACCTTGTTTAAATGTGCAGATGATGCTGTTTTGGGTTATTTTATCACATACAAATATACAAAAACATGATTCCAGGGTATCATTCTGGGTATTGCACAAGCTATACATATGTAAAATCACATATAAGGATTTAAGATTTGTAGGGTCAGGGGGTGAAAGGTTTGACAAAGAAACAGCACAAGGGATCATTGAGGGTGATGGAACCATGCGGTATCTTGATTGTGGTGATGCTTCCACAACTCTGCCATTTGTCAAAACTATAGAACTTGATGACCCCAAAATTTAACTATATGTAAGTGTACAAATAAACAAAAATTGTAAAACGTTGATCTATAATAGTGACTACTTCAAAAGGTGTTATTCAAAATAAAGTCAACTTGTCACTTTTTGGTTAAACCATTTACACACAAACACACACACATACACACACATTTCTCTGCGTAGAACTTCCAGACAAAGTTATTTATTTGCTTGTAATCTTACTCCGGGGGAGTTCGGTTGACTTTCCCAAGATACAATGGAAGGTGGCTGTTCAACTCTTTTTGCCTGCAGTGCCTCAAATTTCTACTTGTTCGTTGAGAGAATCCTCCAGAGACAGATGTATTACAGCACTTTGAGAACTATATTCATACCCACTGCTGGAGAATGAAAAGAGATAGCTGAAGGTTGGGCTCTGAGAAACAATTTAGCGGCTAAATGTGTTACTTAGGAACTGAATCCAAGCAGGTACTTGGAAAGAAGCAATTCAAACTGGTGACCAACATCTCCCAGAGTATACGGGGATTAAGACTTGCACTCAAGTCTCCAACCGGCTTCTGTGCACAAGTAGACTCCAAGCCCGCATCTCTCACGCACTGTTACCTCGTGGCCATTACTTGCGGGTGATGGATGCTCGCGTTCACAGAACAGTGTGCTGATGCATTTTTTCCTGCCATTGTATGTAACATGTTTTCTAATTCTTTTGCTCTATTCAGCATTTGACCCCAACGATTGGGGATTATGGTATTAACTCTCTACCCAGCACACATTCTTTACAGACTCTCACTAAATACTGTAAGCCTGCTGCAGAGAGGAATAAAAGTGAAAGCATACCGTCTGGTCTTAAGCTGAGCACACAGAGGGTCGTGATCCAATTGGAAGGGAAGCAGAATTTTTAAAAAGAAAGAGGTTTGACCAAATTTTAATCCTTGTCATTTTCATTTCTCTTACCCTGTGGATTTGGGTGATTTTATTTACACTGTCAGCTTGAGCCTAGGGATTGGAAATCAGGCTTTTATGGAGATTATTAAAAGTACATAGAGTACACTAAAGGTTGGGCTCAGTGATATATGCTGCTAAAAATATGAATGTGAATGCCCTGGTATTAGATGCCACTGGCGTACATTTCATCCTCCTTAGAAGGTTATTCTTGGGAGCCAGACCTGGTGCGATGGTAATGAGATGCAGGCTGTCAGGATATTTCTAATAGGTAGCAAATGACCAGGGATGGAGGTGAATTAGCATTACTCAGATGAGGAGGTAGCTCTTTATACCATTAATTCCAATGCAAAGTAAAAGAGAGGGCATTGTAAAGTGGGGGGAGAAGGAGGGTAGGGTTAGAGCTTCAAGGATTTATTGATGGGTTGGATGGGACACAATGTCACCCAAGTCCCTAGGCTGGGTTGTGTTTGGCACAAGCTTCTCAGATGCATTGCTAGTGACTTTTTGTTAGATAATGTCATATAGGCCTAGATTACAAAGACAAAGCTCTAGACCTCAGCCACAATCTTTAAGATCTCAATAGATAAAAATGAAATGGTTTACTCAATCTCAAAATACTAGAAGCATTCAATGCTGCAGCCTCAGGTCAAAATGGTGAGCAGGCCTGCTGTTGCAGCATCAAGCCGATGGCTAGAGCGTATTTGAAAATGCTATTACAATGCTGCAGGGTTCCATAAACTGGGGTTAATGCGAGATGATACAGTATATGAGAATGATGATGTGAAAGAGACTGCACGAACGCTTCCTGAGAACCTTTATAACGACAGGATGTTTCACATTAAGAGAGCACTGGACCTGACCATGAAGCAGCAGATCTGCTCTTTAGGAGCAGTGGACAAAATATGAGAAGGATAAATTCTATTTTGAAAAGTAGAATTATCTGAAAGAAGAAGAAGAAAGAAGAAGAAATATCTGAAAGAAGTCATTCAGGAAAGAAAGGAGAGAGAAGAATGGGCAAAGAAATAATCACAGAATTGAAATCTGTGGTTGCAGCTGCCCTAAAATATGTTTAAAAAGTTGGGTAAATCTGAAATGTACAATTTAGAACTATTTGAGCTGCAAATGGATTACTTTAAAAGACTCTTTTTAATTTTACTTGAGAGAGAGAGAGAGCATGAGCAAAGAGGAGAGGCAGAGGGAAAAAGAGACTCCTCACTGAGTGGGGAGCCCGATGTGAGGCTCGATCCAAGGATCCTGGGATCATGACCTGAGCCGAAGGCAGATGCTTAACTGACGAAGCCACTCAGGCACCACTGTATTACTTTAAATAAATGTCTAGTGTAATTATAAAACAAAACACTAGACAGATGCATTCATGTTTCCATGAAGCAGGTTTAAGATCTCAAAGACGTGGAAGTACTACTTTACAAAGTGGCTGCCTATGTGGGACTTGTGTCCTTGCAAGGGTATAGATTAGAATAATCTCTATAGGCTTAAGAAGGTTTTAGAGAACTCCATGCAGCACAGCTCTGTGATGGACCACTGGGAGAAAATGGGGTATTTGAGGCATTTCTTTCCAATCGAGGGGGCTGATGGCATCCCCATGCCTGCTGCACAGCCTCCTTAGTAGATGGAGAGTCACTGCCAAGCTGAAGCTTTAAAGTGTGTTCCACAGGTAGAAATGGGGAGGAAGGCAGATGGCAGAAAGCAACTGACCAAGTGTTTATTTCACCTGGAGCTCTCAGTGTAAGGATCGAGGTTCGTAACTCTGTCACGTCCTAGATGCTTATGTACAAATGAAAATGTGCTATCCCGCCACAGAGAAAGGTGCGATGCAAAAAATGTGCTATCCAGGCCATAGAAAAGGGACAGCTATTATAGGTGGTCCGCCAATGCCTTCAATGTTTGAAACCTTAGTTCTGAACCACTTGTCCCTATTCACTTATGTTCTACATCCTGACTGGGCCTCAGGTCAGGTTGTTTGTTTTCCTTTCTCAAGCCTTACCCACTCACCCTCCAAAGCAGCCACCCTCTGACTAAAATGTTTATTTCCTTCTTAAACTTTGATCCCTATTCCTGCTCCGGCTGTACTGCCTTCGTGCATACTGAACAAACATCTCCACCTGGTCTGGACTGCCACACGGACCTCTCTATGTCACTGTGCCCTCACCCCCCCCACCCCCCCACCCCCAGAGGGAGGCTCTCCCTCCCGGTGTACTGCAGTTGCGCCAATAGGTAGGGTCTGTTGAGGATACCAGTCAATGGCCACCAGACAGAAGTAAAATGGGTCCTTTAATGTGATGGCAATAGAAATTGCTATGGACCATGGCCCATACCACCCAACCCTCCTTCATTAACCGTCTTTTAAAAATATATACATATAGGGCACCTGGGTGGCTCAGTCAGTTAGAGGTCTGCCTCCGGCTCAGGTCATGATCCTGGGGTCCTGGGATTGAACCCTGCATCAAGCTCCCTGCTCAGTAGGGAGTCTGCTTCTCTCTTTCCCTCTGCCTGCCACTCCCCCTGCTTGTTCTCTCTGTTAAATAAATTATATATATATATATATATATATACATATATATGTATATATATGCATATATTATGGTATTGATATGTTTTTTCAAATCAGGTTTCTCATATTTTATTTACCAGATTTGCATAACAATTCCACAAGTCAGAAAGGACAAATATGAGTTCTCTCTTTAGTACAACAGTACAAGTAATATCTAGAGAAGTTAAGTGACTTGGCCATTATTACATGGCAAGTAAATAATAGAGCATACTATAGGGCAACTCTACCTACACTCCCTTGGCCTAAGATACTCTGAAGAACAGAATCAAATCCATGTGGTCATTCTGTATGGAAATTAATAAATAATTTTGATGATAAAATGATACATTTGATGATGATGATGAGAATGATAAATGTTTTCTGCCTCCAAGTGTAGAAATCAATTTCATTTTCCTGACTTGCTTGCAAGCAAGCAAGACTTCCTTGCACATCTGCAGGCCTTCACACCAATTGTTACTTCTACTTAGAATGCCTTCCACCTGACCTATTTGCCTAGAAAATCCCTCTCCATCCCTTAGAATCTGATATGTATGTAACTTCTATGAGGTCTGTACCTCGCACTGCCCCACCCCACCTCCACACAGAAGGAACTATATCATATGTTAATGGTGTTACACTTAGGATATAATTCTTGATGTCATTATCTGTTTATCTGTATGTTCCTGCACCAGATTACGGATAAAACCAGGAACAATGTTTCATTTCTCTTTGCTTTCCAGCCTCTGTTGCGGTGCCTGACAAGTTAAAGATACTCAAAAAGTATTTTTGAACAATGACGATGATGGTGATGTTGATGATGTGGTAGGAGGATAATTTCACTCCTTTCAAGAGAAATGAAGAGCTCTTCCAGCTTTTAGTATATTAGCTAAGGTAATCAGTGTAGGCTGCTATAAAATACAGTTTCCAAATATGACTACTAGAACCCAGTACAAGGCTATTACTTACTCACGAACATCTGGTGTAGGTTGGACTCCTTCCATTGTGTGTTTTTTTCCATCTTGGAGTCCTTCGCTTCCAGCTCTTCAGATGAAAGAAAAACAAGACATACCAGGTTTTAATATAGGTGGCCTCAAAATAACATCATCTGCCCATATACAACTGGGCAAAGCTCAGGATCACATGGCCCATCTAATTTCAAGGCAGCCTGGGAGATGTAACCTTCCTTATATCCAATAAAAAACCAAAGTGGTGAACACTGAAAGACTTTTGCCATAGTCTGCCCTTCTGGACATCTAATATCCATTATACTCTTCCTTTCACTCACCTCACAGGTCAAGGTTCCATCCAGTCACCACCTTTACATCATGTCCAGAATACGTGAGTGATGCACCATCTTCACCATCAGTCTGATATAGTACCTCTAGTACTATATAGTACTACATATTAAAAAGACAAGTTATCTGTTTCTCAACTTCCCCACCATCACAACCCATTTATAATGATAGAAAAGAACAACAAATAATCCAATTGAAAAGGGAAAGAATGGATGGTGTGCAGCATTATGGGCCATAGCCACGCTAAAACCCTTCCGGGTCAGCACTGTGAAGTCCGTATCCTCTGGACATGGAGGATGTGTGTAGAGTTTGCTCTAGAAAGGACTCCCTTCTTTTGTTCTTCTCCTTGGCCACGTGTGAAGTGAGTGTGGAAGAACACCCTTCATTAGGAACAGTGCCACTCTAAAAGCTTGACTTCTGCTCAGTCTGGAATGGGTTGGAAACTCAGAATTATTTAAGCCTTGAACAAAGAAGGACTTTTTTAGGTCTAGGCCCTTGGGTTCTTTGGTAATGCAGTCCTCAAAAACTTGGAAGACACAGGATATATCTGCTTCCAATCAGGTCCATGTGCCAGCAGCCACACGCAGTTGTTTTCTAGACATTGCTACCAAATCTACCTTTTTTCTTTGCCCCTTCTCATCCATGCCTTTCTTTCTCTCAGCATAATTACCTAAAGATATTGAGGCTCTCAGAAAGAATAGATGGGAAGACTGTACCCTTGATTTGATTTTTGTCTCAAATAATTCCATTCAATTGAGAACTCTTACTAGATATTTGTCGCTTAAAGCCCTTTTTGGTACCATGTCTTACTGAGTGAGTCTAAAATAAATTTATTTCTTCCAATAGTACAGCCCAAATTTCTCTATTCTGTATTCTATTTCTTTTTTTTTTATTAATTTTTATTGGTGTTCAATTTACCAACATACAGAATAACACCCAGTGCTCATCCCGTCAAGTGTCCCCCTCAGTGCCCGTCACCCATTCACCCCCACCCCCCGCCCTCCTCCCCTTCCACCACCCCTAGTTCATTTCCCAGAGTTAGAAGTCTTTATGTTCTGTGTCCCTTTCTGATATCTCCCACACATTTCTTCTCCCTTCCCTTATATTCCCCTTCACTATTATTCATATTCCCCAAATGAATGAGAACATACACTGTTTGTCCTTCTCCGATTGACTTACTTCACTCAGCATAATACCCTCCAGTTCCATCCACGTTGAAGCAAATGGTGGGTATTTGTCGTTTCTAATGGCTGAGTAATATTCCATTGTATACATAAACCACATCTTCTTTACCCATTCATCTTTCGATGGGCACCGAGGCTCCTTCCACAGTTTGGCTATTGTGGACATGGCTGCTAGAAACATCGGGGTGCAGGTGTCCCGGCGTTTCATTGCATCTGAATCTTTGGGGTAAATCCCTAACAGTGCAATTGCTGGGTCGTAGGGCAGGTCTATTTTTAATTCTTTGAGGAACCTCCACACAGTTTTCCAGAGTGGCTGCACCAGTTCACATTCCCACCAACAGTGTAAGAGGGTTCCCTTTTCTCCGCATCCTCTCCAACATTTGTTGTTTCCTGCCTTGTTAATTTTCCCCATTCTCACTGGTGTGAGGTGGTATCTCATTGTGGTTTTGTTTGTATTTCCCTGATGGCAAGTGATGCAGAGCATTTTCTCATGTGCATGTTGGCCATGTCTATGTCTTCCTCTGTGAGATTTCTCTTCATGTTATTTCTGCTTGCAAACTCATGATGCTTTCCTGAGTCACCTCTTTCTCTCAATACACATCTAGATTTCTTGTGATACTAAAAACACTGCTGAAATTCTGTGTTTTTAAACATTTCCCCTAAAGGTATAAACTGTGCATGTGGCTGCCTTCCAATTAATAGCAGACAATAGTTATATGATTTGTCACAGCATAACCTGAAGTTCTATCTTCCATTTTCTGGTATTAGTTGCCTTTCTGCCTGACACTGAACTACTAAACCAAAAATATATATTTAACATAGTATGAAAGTCAAGGAATATGATTTGGTTATGTCAACACCCCACTTCTGGTACCAGTTTCTGTATTACAACCATAAATCCCTGTTACTATAACAACAATCTCAGTGGTCTACACAGTACTTCATTTCTCCCTCATGCCACTGTGAATGCAATTCTGGTAGTTCTCTTTGGAGGTTTTCTTCCAAGTAATGATTCAGGAACCCAAACTCCTTCCACTCTGTGATATTAGAATTTTAAACCAGTGGCAACTGAACACTGTAGAAGGGGAAGTGAAGCCAGAATACCATTTAAGATGTTTTTAGGGGCAGGACTAGAACTAGTTTATATTCTTCTGTCCCAATTTTTTTGGCCAGAACCCTGTCACATGATCCCAACCTAGCAAGGAGGAAATAAAATGTTCCTGTGTGCTCAGGAATAGGAAATGGGACTGATGAGCTTAGAGCTCTCCTTCCTGTATTATAATGTGTCATGATTTGTAATGTGTCATTGACTCCTTACTGATGACTGACCATGCTGAGAAGAGATTATTTTCTCAGTCATCAACAAGATGTCCATTATTGGACAATAATGATATCTTATTTTTATATTAAAAATGCAGGTTCAAAATCCTTTGAAATTACTTATGAAGAATTTAAGGCAAGTATAATTTTCTTCCCACTTAGCAAATAATATAAAATTAAAACAGTAAGAGACATCACGGGACCCACTGTGATTCATCCAACAAGTTACCAGAACTTTGGCTTCAAAAGATGACCTTCTCCAACCAAATCTGTATAACACAAGCGATTACTATGTCAATTGCAATTTGTCATGACCATGCAGGTCCCCACAATGGAGATGGCTTCGTGTAAGTGAGCTGGTTATCCACATGCTCTAGTCAGACTCACCAGCCACCCAATTCCCTCTCCTTTGAAAGGCACACCGCAATACAAGGGGACAGAGGACCCGATTTACCAACAAGTAGTAAGCAGTGTAGTAGTACAGTGGAAAGAGCAAAGTTTTGAGTAAAAGAGATCTAGGGTCTTGCATTGGTTATATGTCCTGAGCAAGTAATTTGAACATCTCTGAAGCTCAGTTGCCTCATTTCTCATCTGTAAAATAAAGGATAATATATCTAACCTGTATAATAGTGTGAACATCTGAGACACACACACACACACACAGAGCGTGCTGATTTTCACACAATATAAATTGACAGCAGTATCCTTAATGGTCAGTGTTCATGTCATACTAGGTATTGACAATTTTAATATCATCCCTGAGTGTACTAAATTAGTCTACACCTATTTATTTATTTGTGCCTGAAACAGGCCTATAATTTTTCTAGGCATTATGAAAGATAAAAAGAAATTTAATATAAGATAGATCCAGACCTCTAGTTTTGAGGCCAACTATATAAGGTTGACATGACAGGAATGTGACAGGAATTCCCTCTTTGAATTCAAAGAGGGAATTTCTGTGAGCATTGGCTGGATGAGTCAAAGAAGGTTCCATGAAGAAGGTAACTCTATGAGTTTGGAGGATGCCAGAGGAAGGGAGATGTTTCTCCATAAAGCTTGGTTAAGTAAAGAATACTGAGGAGACAGTCAGACAAGAGAGGAGAGCAACTAAGGAAAAATGAACGTTATCACCAGGGCTACACATTCATTCTGAGTAAAATGATACTTAATCCTTCAATGAAAAAGGGCAAAAATCCCATTCCCAAAGGGAACACTGTGTTTCCAGAGGGTACTGATACGGACACAATTATAATGGATTCTACTAATTGCAAAAATATGTACACAGAGGAAAATTTTTAAATGTATATCTTTTGTATGATTTTGATAAGGTACGGTGTATTTGGTGTTTTTCCAATGCAATAATCCTTGTCTTTCTATTTCCTTTCTCCAATGTTCTCTTTTTCTACTCCATATGTGATACTACAACAGAAACATGGCAAGTACCTAGGACAGTGGGTTGGCACAAAGCAGGTGCCTAATGAATATTTGTTAAATATTAATTTGTTTAACAAAGTTCTGAATAAGTTTTGCCCAGCAGAATTGCAGCACTTTGTAGTCTTCAAATCAGGCAAGGTGAGTAGGTCACCTCCTTAAAAAAGAGACAAAGAAGGGGCACCTGGGTGGTTCAGTCAGTTAAGTGTCTGCCTTCAACTCAGGTCATTATCTCAGGATCCTGGGATAGAGTTCCACATCAGGCTCCCTGCTCATCAGAGAGCCTGCTTCTCCCTCTACCTCTGCCATTCCCTCTGCTTGTGTTCTCTCTCTCTCTCTCTCTCTCTCTCTCTCTCAAATAAATAAATAAAATCTAAAAAGAGAGAGAGAGAAAGAGACAAAGAAGACTGCTGATACACTCTTACAATGAGTTGAAAAGAATATGTAAGTAAATGAGTAGATTATATCTAGTTGATGAGAAAGGCAGACAGCCCAGGAAAAGCCCATCTTTGGAAATTTTAGCATACTCATTGTCTAGTGTCCACTTTTCCAAGCTCAGCACACACTGGTTAATATGCTCACAGCTTTGATGGGTCCTTCAGCAAAGCACCTTCCTTCCCTAATGTTTCCTCTAAGTTCCACTAAAATAGTGGAATGGCTTAAAACAACCAGGGTGGGTCATCTCCAACCCATACGTACCAAGTATCATTTTTTAAGTTGAAGTGATATAATTTCCCTCTTCCTTTAAATCATGATTCCTTATAGTTTCCGTCCATAAATCTGATTCCCAGTTTTTAAGTGATAGGCAAAA